CATGTACCTGTGAGTGTGGAAGATCTTGTTATAATGTACATGTACCTGAGAATGTGGAAGATCTTGTTATAATGTTCATGTACCTGAGAGTGTGGAAGATCTGGATCAAACACTAGATCTTCTGACGCACAAGACAGCATGCTCTATTAGGCTATATGCAGTCTCCATTATATAGACAACAGACATTACCTAACAATATAACGTTGTTATTTTAATGTTACAGAAGCATTGAAGACTTTCTTTTGATGTACTACAAGTGATAATTTTGTTTTTGTTAACTATTCATTATATAGATAATCTAGAAGGCTATTTTTCTTTGAGAAAAATATCATCATAAACAGCAGAAACACTCAACCTTTACTTCACCATATCTAGTTAGTAATGATTCTTACATCCAACCAATTGTGTCGAACATCTTCGCTGCTTAGTATAATATGACCATCAAAACTGACGCCAGTGTGGTAACCAAACACCAGGGTGCGACCTGCAGAAAAATATTAAGTTTTGATAATATATCATCCAAAAATACCCCAATCCCTGCAAATCATAATAAATGTGATATCCCCATAAGAATCACAGTTCTTTATGAACATCATTTTATCTTCTTATGTTAAACTGTTTAGTAGTTGTAATTTGATGTATGAATATTTTACTATATACATAAAAAACATATAATTTACATACAACTTTACAGTTATCTTACTCATATGTAGACAAGGTGTTTCCTCTGATGAATGACAGAGAACAATAGGTAGCTAAAGTGAAAAGAACTTAACTTTCTTGACCAATGTGTTATGTTAAATTGTGTACACCTGAATAAATAAAAATATTGAAAAATTTTATATTAATACAAGGAGGTAGAAAACGTATGGTTTACTTGCATAGCTCTGCATTTTGCTTTCATCAAAATGAAAAACTGTCTGAAAATAGTGTGTGAAGTGAGCATTTAAGCTGAACCATGAGCCTTGTTTTCAACATACACTATTAATATATTTAAACATTGTCCACTGAAGCAAAATATACCAAACTTGTTAAAACAAATACACTGGATTATAGTTTTGTGGGTTTGTATGCAAGTAGAAATCACTTTTAAATTAACTGTTACTAAAGAAATATTTAAAATATCACACGAAAAATACTAATATAATGACTACAATATATGTCAGTTACATTAAAGCTATAACAACAACAACAAAAATGAAGGTACAAATGATTTTCACTTCTTTTTACTAGGTTGAAGAACAATTTTCAGAACAAAAACTTTCCTTTTTCTCAAAAACACAATAGATTAAACTAACCCTTCAGAATTTCCATTTCTTTGGGATGTTGTGCAGCAAGACCTTGAAAACTTAAAAGACATCCTCGGAAATGAGAGCTCCCCCAGCCACAATCCCAGATAATATCTTCGAGAGTTAGCCGTTCTTTAAGGTCATTACGTAACCTTTCAGTTTCTTCCCTCAATGGCCGATATTTTTCCAACTTGCTTCTTGCCTTGTCAATGTTATCTCTTAGCCAGCCCCTGAAGTGATACAAACAACTATATTCCCAGAACTTACTCTCGTCATAGATAACTGCTAACGTGTTTTCTATATCATGAAAGTAACAAATGAAACTGTGTAATTAAACTCCATTATGGGTTGTTTTAAATACAGAAAAACCTAAGCCATGCAAGCAATAAAAAGGTTTCAAGTGCAGTTAACAGGGAGCATTAAAACACTGGTAACATGTCAGAAGAAGCCCCATATTTGGTACTTGGCTAACAAACACGTTAAAATTGTAACCATGCAGTTACGAAGAAAAGTCAAGTTCTTTCACTAAAGGGTATTCTTGAAAGTTTGTTTTTAAACAAAACACAGTGCTATTGTATATTAAGAATCTCAAACCTATACCTAAGACCTATTTCTGGCTCACTGTGCAATTTTTCTTCTACTTCTTCTGAAGGATCCTCTCCAAACTTCCATCCCCACCAATATTCATTCTGTTTGGGATTCTTCTGGAAAGAAAAGCTAAATTCTTCTTCTGCTGCTGATGAGGGCTGAGATGCTGACTGAAGTGGGCCTTGAAGTTGGGAGTGTGTTAGGTTGTCTAGATATTTCGTAGAAATACAGCAACTGGACAAGACAGAGTGAACTGCTGAATGTACATCCTTGTGATAAAGGTGGATCTTGACAGTTTTAAATTTACCTTTAAAGAAAAAAAATTGTATTGAATTAAAAAGGCTGCACAAATACCACGTTTTAAATACTCTTTTACCAACTTTATGATCTAACATCAACTGAAACTGTATTCTGACAACAAAATAAAGGATTTTACTAAAAGGGTTCATCTTATGTTCAGATAGAGAATATTTTTCTGTTACTGCCCAAATACCGCAGCATAGTTCCTTTGCAAAAGGTTCTAGTGTAAGATTGGTATGTCCAAAGCACATCAGCCTTTCTATAAGCTTTCTATAATCCTTCTAGTGTACAGAGAGCACAGAAATCCATAGACACTGCACCCAGCAACTTGACAATCATTTCTTTGTATGAAATAGCACAAATACCTGTCTGAGGTGACAGCTGGACAGATATGTCATGAAGGCAATTTGTGTACTTTTTCCAGATGGAGATCCTTCTTTATTATGTTCCACAGTGTTGCTTAGTAGAACACATAGATGGCTTTTGCCACTGATCTACGTGTTCATGAATTTGCATCTATTTTATAACATGCCACACTTTGCTTACCACAGTTGGGTACAACTAGTATCCTTCTGGATAGTCCTGGTTCCCAAGTTGATCCATTTTACTTTGTTGTCATTAAAAATAAGGGATATCTCTCTCTCGGAAATTTTAAATCCCTGATCTGAGTGTATGAATATTTTGTGTTGGAGAGGACTGTTACATACCATTCCCAAAAGCAATCAGTGTTTAATGGTATCACACTACCTACAAATTGACAAAAGAATGTCAAAATGTAGTATTGATACATTTGTTTCAATGTATCATTGTACTGGCCATTGTTGTCGTATGATTTAGTGATTTGCCTATTCGAAGTCATTCTTATATAACATACACAACCTTTTGTACTATATGAAAATTAAGTTTGTTGCAAGTGGGACATTGTGGGCTGGAGCACCAACAAAAATATTTTATTTATTTTTTCTTAATCACGTGAGGCCAGCAAAGTTGAGGTTAAACAGGATAGACACTGTACCCCCAATGCAATTTGGGTCTAAATTTCACCAGTACCTCTAAAAACCAGGGCACATTACATAATCATCCACCTTATGATTTGTGCCCTGGTGTTGGATGTTTGTATGGTGGCTGCAATTTTTTTTCACGAACTTACATTTAATTACATTTCATCTAAGGTTTGGACATGCTGCGTAAAATTTGCATTATCCTTCCTTCTGATGTTTTTTTTAATTTTTAGATTTCCTATTTATTATGGTTTGATGTAAACCGGCTTTTTTATTTATTGTTTGATGTAAACTGGCTTTTTTATTGATGGTTTGATGTAAACCTGCTTTTTTATTTATGGTTTGATGTAAACCTGCTTTTTTATTTACGGTTTGACGTAAACCTGCTTTTTTATTTATGGTTTGATGTAAATCTGCTTTTTTATATATGGTTTGATGTAAACCTGCTTTTTTTATTCATGGTTTGATGTAAACCTGCTTTTTTTATTTATAGTTTGATGTAAACCTGCTTTTTTTATTTATGGTTTGAAGTAAACCTGCTTTTTTATTTATGGTTTGAAGTAAACCTGCTTTTTTTATTTATGGTTTGATGTAAACCTGCTTTTTTATTTATGGTTTGATGTAAATCGGCTTTTTTATTTATGGTTTGATGTAAACCTGCTTTTTTATTTACATTTTATATATCTTCACCTGTCAAGAATGTTCAAAACAAAATGTAATCTTTAGAGAAGTATCTATCATTGATTATACTGTTTTAAAACAATCTTGGATGTAAAAGTCAAACAATATAGAACAAAAATTCACAAATTATAAAGACCATGTACTGATCTTACCTCTGAGGTTTAAAGCTTATTACATACATTTATCAGTTTGTAGTTGGCTTAAAAGTGTTACTAAGTTTTTTCATTATAAATATTGTCATTCAATAAAAGAGCAGGATATAAAAATACTGGCTTCATTAAGTAACTTCATTCAAACAGTAAGAATAAAAAGAAAACTTTACAAGTAAGATTAAGAATTAGAGATAGCAGCTTCAAGTCCTTGCCCTATTTTGAGCAGTTCAGGCTTCTATTGTAAATCTAAAAATTGGTTATGTAACTCTTATTATTATAGTTACCTCTAGGTGTATCATCTAAAAGTTGTGATTTAGGATCCCGTAAGTAGAATGTCAAATTGATCTGTTTTGGTTGGCAACTCTGTAGTAAACCTTCAAAATATTGGTTTAGCTGCTTTAGTGAGTTTTCATTCACCTCCTGTTAAAAATTGAAGCTACATCATCACCAATATCTAAACAAATTACAACAGAAACCACATCGTCACTAATATCTAAACAAATTACAACAGAAACCACATCGTCACTAATATCTAAACAAATTACAACAGAAATCACATTGTCACTAATATCTAAACAAAACATCATCATCATAAGTGTAAACAAATTACAAGAGAAACATCACCATCAATGTCTAAACAAATGAACAGAAACTACACCATCTTTAGCATCTGAACAAATTATAACAGTCTACACCATCATCAATGTTTATAACAAACTACAATATAAGCACTGTTTAAACAAATTACAACAGATTACATCAACATCAGTGTTTACAACAGACTACACCATGAGCACTGTTTGAGCAAATTACAACAGATTACATCAAAATCAGTGTTTACAACAGACTACACCATGAGCACTGTTTGAGCAAATTACAACAGATTACATCAAAGTTAGTGTTTACAACAGACTACAC